GCAACTCAAAATTAGTTAGATTTTCATCAATGAAACTCATTGAAAAGAAGATAAAGAAATGATTACGTTCTTGTTTTTTAATCGTGCAATTAAAAAAAGAAATTATTTTATTTTTCAAGTTCTGCACGATCATCATCATCTAGAACGGCTAATGACCATCATCATCATCATCATCAACATAAACGAAAGCGAGATGAACGTTCACCATCACCATCTTCTCGTCACTCTCGATCCAGTCGTCGATAAACATATGAGAACAGCAATGTTCTCTTTTTTTTTTGTGTGTAATTTTTTTTTGTTGGACTAACTATTGTACGAACATATACATGTGTACATAAATAGAAATTTTTTTCTCCTGCTCGTTGATATTCTACCTGACTGCTATATTTGTGCGGAACAAAATATATAAAAAAAAGAGGCGAAAGAGAATGGACGACTCATAGAGAAGTACGTTTTTTCTTCTAATATAATCATTCGACAACATTATATATATATATTTTCTTTTTTTCTTCTGTTATATGACACAAGACTATTTCTTCTCATTTTTTTGCTGTTCTCTCCGAAAGTGAGTTGACATCAGTCTTCTCGTGTATATTCTCCGTAGAATTAGCTCGATCATTTCTCATTCGACGCTGGCAGAAATGAACGGAATATAACAGACATCTGTTGGTGTCCGATGATCTGAAAGCGAAATAAAAGAAGCGGAGTATTAGAACATAGAAGAGCTCCCTTGTCGTGACAGCAGCATGAGATTGTCTTGAATGAGAACAGAAAATAATAGATACTATACTATTCTTTTGACAAAACTCACTAACAATCATTTACAGCATCTGTTATGAAATACATCTTTTTGTTTTATTGTTCTTCTTTTTCTTATATTTGTGCGTAGATAAATTACGAATATTAAAAAAATGCATTTGACATTATCAACGGAAATCGGAAGTTGACGTCGTCTATCGCTTACTTTATGTATATTCTATATAACAAATAATTGTGAATCGAAGAATAACAAAACATATACGAAGCAACGTTAGCTTGTGTTCTTGTTCGTGCCATCAAAAAAAAAAAAAAAAAAAAAAAAAGAAAAAAAGAAGAGCGCGCGAGACAAGAGAAAAAGGAAAAAGAACGTATTTAGATCGTATATTTTTTTTTTGTAAAGAAAAAAATAGATACATCGAAACATTGTCGTTCGTCTGTAATAAATGAATGCGGCATATACGTCTTCGATTACGTTTCACGATATTTCTCATTCTGGCTACATTAACAATATCTTTTTTAATAACACTTTATACATTAATATGGTCAACTCATGAGTTCGAACGACAAGAACAAATTCGAGATACACCAAAATCACCCGGTGCTGTGCCATTTTGGTCAGCTATTAGTCATCAAAATATATATGATTTATATGCACAACCACCTAATACAATATTTAAGCGTCAAACAAATATCACTCAAGGTCGTATCGAAGAACTTTTTCAATTAGTACGTCATGTACGAACTGATCAAACTCATGTAGTTGATATAGAAAAATTATATCCTATTGATTCAAAATGGAATTTTCAAAAGTTACTTGAAGAACAACAAGCACGAGAACAAGATGATAAAAATGCTGATACAGCTGATTCAACAACAAATGTAACAAAACCAACAATTCAACCAGATTCAATAACAATAGAAAAAACTATGAATGAACATGATCAAATACAATTAAGAAATTATATACATCAAGTGTTAGCTAAATGGAAAACAGAACATCAAAATGATAAAATCGTTACTATAGCAGATCTTATGCATGATGAAATTGAACATGATGAACCATTGTAAGTTTCTTTTATTTGCATCAAAAAATATTTTAGTTTTTTTTTCTTTCTATGAAAGATGAAACCTTTCATATTTTTATAAGTCTAAATCAAGTATTTGCACACGTGCAATATTTGATGTGCAAAAAAGCAACAAGCTTTAAACCTCTCATTTACAGAAGATAAAATTTTATACTGATTTCTTTATCAAAATCTTTGTTATACAATGTTGTTAAGTTAATCGTATGGTATCAGCGAATTATTTTTTTCTATTGAGATAGCCAATTTAATACCTATGTAAAATATATTTTAAATAATGAATTTTTAATAGTTAATTTTCATATATCTTAAAAGATACTCTTTTTTATACGATTAAACTGTCGATTATATGATAGCATTATAGTTTTTTTCTTTTCAATATTAATCGATACTTTTTCAATAACAAGAAGAATAATATATAAGTTGCTCTTAGCAATTATAAATGATAATAAGAACCGAGAGATGTTTTTCTTTTTCTATATATATATATATATGTTAAGTTGCACATGATTAATAAGTAATTAATAAGATCCAATTCAATTTGTGTATGACACATACGCACACAAAAATATTTTAGTTTTGTAACAGGGTAATTGTTAATCATATCTATTGAATATTTTTCTCGGATATAAAATGAAATAAATATAATATTCTTCGATTTTTTGTTCGTCATTTATTTTCTCAATAAATATTTTCTTGAATCATTCAAGAACAAAAGGAGATTAGACGGCGCCCTTTTTTTTTTAATTGATTTCACAAACGACAAAATAGCACAGATGTTTCAAACAATTTTTACATGCTTTATTTCCATGAATAAATGATTATTGTTTTAGAAATTCAGCAATGAAATACAGATGTCCCATCTGATGTCGCATGAATCAGTTCTGTTTAAAGCACTATTTTGAATAATAAGTTAGAGAAAAAAAATATCTTGGTCGATGTACTTGAGTATAGAAAAAAACATATTTTTCTTCAATTTTGATATTTTCTCTATTTGTATCCTATGTAAAGACAGTATATATATATATATTTATAGTATCAATAGAATATTGAAATGGTTTCTTTGACATACATATTATAAGTCGGCATCATTTTTCGTATCTAATCCATCTTAGAAACCAATTCAATTTTCAAGTAATACCCCGTTGTAATTGATATAAAATTCTTTCGAGAAAAAAAAATATATCATTGATTCTTTTTAGGAGACTGAACACATCATGGTATAAATATATGAAAACAGCAACTAATTTACGTGTTTATGATCCACATAGTCGAGAACTTAAACGTCTTTTAAATCATTTACAAAATGCTGAAGTTATTGAAGCGAGTGAGATAGACTTAATTCTTTTTTTTCTAGTTTATGAGTTCCTTTCTTTTCTTTCTTTTAGGTGAAATGTCACAAGGCACACAGATTAAAATTATTCTAGATTTGCCAGATGGTTTTGAAGCACTCTTTAAACCATACAGGTAAATAATTGGTTTCTACGTGATTTATCCTTTTATATGCATTTTTTTAATTTATAGAGTACCGCGTAATTATCAAACATTACCAGATCATTTCTATTTCAGTGATGTTGAAAGACATCATGCTGAAATAGCTGCATTTCATTTAGACAAGTAAATTGATTTTATGTTTTTTAATTTACAGTATCATTTCTTATATTTATAAGAGTTCTTGGTTTTTATCGTGTTCCACCACTAGTTGGACGATTAATTGATATAACTCGAGATATTCGTGAAAAAGCAACAGACGAATTAGCTAAAACATTTTTTATTTCACCTGGTAAAATAAAATGAAATATTATTTGTAATTCATTTGAAATTTCTAGCAAATAATACGTGCTTCCGTGGTCATTGTTCCTATTATTGTGATACATCTCATGCTGTTTGTGGCAAACCAGGTGATCGATTAGAAGGTTCCGTTCAAATTCTTTTACCACGACCACCTGAACTTGATTGGGCAAAAATTACTCATCCATATCGTCGTTCATATAGTGCTGTCAAAAAAGCTAAATGGGAATCGAATGAAAATTATTGTTATGAACATGTTTTTTTGGGTTAGTTCAATTCTATATTGTTTATCGTTACTTTTTAATACTATTACTAATAATAATTTGTCATTTTTCTTTTAGATGAGGAGTTTCATAATCGTCTATTACTTGACATGATGGATTTATCAGCATTTGACTTTCTCATTGGTAAATGACTTTCTATAAGCTTTTCTTTATGCTTCAAATAGCACTTAAATGCATTTCTTTTTTCTCTTCTTACTATGAATGTATAGAATAGAATGTTATATAAATTTTGAATGATCTGTCTTTTGGTCCGTTAGCTCTTTATCTTGTATTTTTAATGTGAGACCTTGAAAATGATTAATTGTAAAGAATGCCGAGATTCTAATTGAATGAACTAGTCGACATGATGATTGAAATTTTGTATTATGTCGTCATCTCATGAGAGACATAATACGACACTTAAATGATAAAAACAGATTTCGAACATTTGCTAATAAGATTTTCATCCATAAAACTTTCGACAAGACATCTCTCTGAACTTTCGCCGATTGGCAAAATCCCAGCTGTCTGATAAAATAAAACTAGTCGCGTAATTTCATTCAATATTTTTTATTGTTTGCTACTTTTTAGGTAATATGGATCGTCATCATATGATGCGAATTAGTTCCTTTGGCGATAATACAGCTTTACTTCATTTGGATAATGGTAGAAGTTTTGGTCGATATGATCATGATGACTTATCAATATTAACACCCATTCGTCATTGTTGTCTTTTTCGTTATTCAACATTTGCTCGATTATATCGTGTTTATCGTCAAGGTCTTTCAACATTATTAGCTCGTTCATTAGAAAATGGTGAAAAATTACAAAAGATTCTTGTTGATGAACATCTCATTGCTATTGATCGACGTTTAGAAATTCTTTTTGAGCATTTAGATACTTGTATTAAAACTTATACAGTGAAAGGAGTAATGATAGATGATGGGATAGATTAAGTCTAGTGTGATAGATATATGATGGGTATATGCAACAGTGAATTTTATTTTATTTTCATGTTAGAGACATTTTTCATTTTGTTGTTGTTGTTGTTGTTTTCTTTCTTTTGTGTAACAGGAAAATTTTATTAATTAAAAAAAATCTGGTTCTAGGAGATAATACATGATTTTGAATTTGATGATTCTAATCGATGAACAGCACCGACAAAACGAATAAATTGATCACGATATAATTTTGTATTATACTTTTCTTCATATCGTTCACTTATAGCATTATATTCAATTTGCCAATCAGGTCGAAGACATTGTATATAGAGAAGAAGATCTATACCATGTCGAAAATCATACAAATCAATTAATTCTTGATGAATATAATTATCATCAAAATATTGTGCAATATTTTCTTTTTTCCATTGTTCTACTGGTATTTTTGAGTAATTTCGATTAGATTTAATATGATTATCTTCAGTAGATTTCGTTTCATTCTTGATATCTTCGATTGATTTATTGTCAATGATCGGAGGAGAAGTAGTTGAAGGTTCAGTTACTTTATTTTTATCAGATTTTTGTTGTTTTTTATCTTCAATAATAAGTTTAATAACTTCTTCAATTGTATCATCAAATGATTTTTTTTCAAAACGAATATATTGTGGACCAACAATACGTACACCTAACCAACTAGTTGCTACAAAATCTTTTTTGACATATATTGGAATAAAACGCTTTTTAAGTACATCTTTTGCATACATCACTTCTTGTCTACATGATTTACTATCTTGATAATCTTTTGACATTAAAAAAAGAATAACATTCGATTGCTCAATAGCTTCAGCTATTTCTTCCCAAAAGTCTTCCGTATGACAATATGCAAAATCTACCCAAACTTGCAGGCGACTATCTATAGAATAGAAAAGAAAAATATAGGTTTGACTATGTTTCACTTTTTTCTAGAATAAAAAATAATAATCAATGCCATATGAACTTAGACATTCTCAAGATGTGAAATATTAAATCTATTAGTAGGAGAGTATTGATGAAAAAGAAAAAATATTACAAAAAAAAAAACATTATTTATCAACAAGAAATAGACTTTATAACATATGGATGCTTGTATAATATAAGTGAAGGAGATTACTCATATTCGTATCAAATCAATGCTTTCATTGCCAATCTAACTATTGTAAAATATGAGCTACTCATAGCATGTATTGATCAAGATATTCAAATTTCAACGTATTTACAATCTATGTCATATGACTACATTTCAAAACTGCAACAGCATTGATTTTCCTTTGCTGTTTATGATTAAGTAGAGCTCGTCAAATAATCTTGAAAAAAATCAAGATCAAACATATTTAAAAATAACTTTACATAAGTCAGAATTTAATGTCATATCACTCTTATATTTAACAATAATGATATCTTGGCTATTTTTGTAAAATTGCTTTTGAATATGTGTGATATTGCTTTTTCCAAGGTGTATCGTTGAGCACTATTTAATCATGGCGAAGAAAGAAAAATCAATGATGCTCAAATTTTGAAGTATGGGTGTATGACATATGCTTTAAATACATTGAAATTTGAATGTCTCCATCCATACAGGTTATGAACAGCCCTCTTCAAAATGAATCTTGGACTAAGTACATTCAAAATGTATAAAAACTTTAGGATATGTTGGGGTTATAGTGCAGAAGCTATGTTATTTTCCAGAGAAGAAGGTTCAAACAATTTTAGAAAGCTGATGAAGAAACCTTCTCATGCATTAAATGGTTTTTTTTCGACTGAGATCATGTTCATTTGATGAATGCTAGAAAGTAATAGAAAAAATTTGAATGATCTTTTCTCAAAGGCTTCGTTCTTGAGATATCGAAATTTTACTGAATTTTGCGATAAACAACTGTCTTCCTTTTCAGATCCAACTTTTAGCTTTTTTAGTATTTCCTTTTCGAAAATGTAAATATATGAATAACATTTGCTTTTATATATGAGAGAATTTCCAATATTGAAAACCTTAGGAAAAGCGAGACTAGAAAAATTGCAATATGTTCCATGAACTAATCTCATGGAAAACTTTGTTCGTGCAAAATTTGAAATCGAAACTAGAAAGTTGATCTTTCATGGGACCTGAGAAGGGTCACAGTTTTTTGTTGAAAACCCAGTAAAATTTCGAAATCTCAAGAATGAAGACTCAGGAAACCCAACAATGCTAGACTTTCCTATTATTCCCTAGTACTCATCAAATGAACGTCGTCTCGATCGAAGAGCCATTTGATACTTGGAGAGATTCGCTCACGAATCATCCGTTGCTCTCTGCCCCTATGACGCTACCATTAGTAGAAATTTTAGTGGCAATTTCATCATATTCCATAACACTACTAAGTTGCGTTATAATTTGTTCATAATATAAACTTTACAATATCAACAAAACTTTGCAATATATATTACTATTCAATCGCATTTTAGTTTTTAATATTCAATGAAATAGAAATTTATCTTTGTGTGAAAGTTAACTCTTATGAGAATAGTCTATTTCTATAATATTCAACGATGTTTTCATTTAATAGTAAATCAAGAAATTTCATTCACCTTTCTGAAGTGCATCAACAAATTGATGACAAAATTCTTTATCAGCATGTGAATAACTAATCATCACACGCGTTCGATCAATTATGTTAATATCAGTTTGAAGTGTTTTTTTTGTTTCTGGTATGGTTGTTGTTCGAATACTTCGAGCTAAAATTATAAAACAAAAAAAAAAAGAAAAATAACTATCATTGATTTTTCTTTTCTTTATACCTGGATTATTTTCATCAAGATTCCATAATACTCCATTGGCTGCCTTTGATACACATGACATATGTTTAGGAACATATTGTTCAACCCAAGCTTCTCCATGATCATTTGCTAAACTTTTAACAGTAATTAAGAATTTTGAATTTGATTTTAATTCTTCAATATATTCATCATGAAATGATATACTCCATAAAATATTAAATAAAGCTGTTAACGATAATTGATCAAGATCATTTTCACTTGCTAATGCTCCACGAAATTTTATTAATAGTTCACAAAAAAAATCGATTCTAGATTTAGCTTTTAGATTTTTAATAGATGATTCATTTAATACATATTGTAATATTTTATCATGTACACAAAGTTTAGTTAAAACAACAATTGGTTCACTAACATGAAATCCTTTACATCTATTATCTACTGATTGTCCACCATCAATAATTAATTCCATAAGTTGATCAAGAATTTGACGAAGATTATTTAAATCTTCTTGATTTTCTTTTGGTTCAGTTATTAATGATAAAATCATGCAATAAAATAAACGTAATTCTGTGTATAATTCATCATTATTATCTTTATTTGGTTTAAGTACTCGTTGTTGAAATTCTTTAAGTATGTTTATACCATTAGCATTATTTAATGCTTCAGCACCTTGTTCATGTCGTGCTAAATTATATAATATATGCATACATATACGTTGAATATCAAGCGATAAATCTTGCATTGAAATCCATTTTAAAGCATAATTTGAACATTTTGTTTCAATTAAAGTTGGAACTAATATTGTCTTATCAGCTAATGTCCAAAAAAGTAGTAAAATATACTTTACTGTTGTAGGAATACAAGTTTTATTTGAATTTTGTTTATTTTTATCAACATATTCAATAAGTAAACGCAAGTTTGGTACTAGATTATGTAAATCATTTTTTTTAAATACAATATGTCCACTAGTAGAATGAATATAATCAATAATTATGCAAAAAATTAATGTCATATGTGAAAAAAGTTCATTAGAACATTTATCATTAAGAAAATCAGTCATAAGAGGTAATGATAATAAATCAAATGAACGATAAAAAACAGTACGAGCATAAAGTGGGTTATTTTCAAATATAGACGATAAATTAAGTGTAATTTGAGTAGAAATCAAATAATTAAATATTTGTTGAAATGAACTATTGGAAATAATATTTGGACATGTTTTTATTGAAAGTAATTTATCAATATACGTTTTTAATGTTGCTTGTAATATATCAAATATTACCGTAGGTTGAGTAAGATTAGTAAGTTCTTGAATTTTGCTTTGAATTGATTTAATATATTGAGAAATATTAGAATCAATTTCACCATTAGCTTCTGATTTTTTTAAAAGAATATTATGAAGATTTAATAGTAATGTTGGAAGATCATTTGGTAATTTAGATTCTTCCTTTGTAGATGAAGATGGTTCTGATAAGGAAACAACTAAATAAAAGTAATGATTTTTTTTTCTTTTTCGATAAAATATCAATTGTTAGACTATTAAATAATTTTATTTTGATATTAATCTTTCATTCTCAGATACTAATCCCGGAAAGTTGATGTCAAGTCAATTACGAAAATAGTTTATATTAATGTTGATTATGACACTGAGATAGTTAAATTTTGGCAAAGTCATATTACTGTTAAGATGCAGAATAGGTCATAACTGATCGGAAGTTTAGAATTGAAACCCAGGGAATTTTCAGACCAAGTCAGCATTTCTGTTATAAGTTCTCAAAAAGACTTTATTTCTATGAATATTTGTTAAACTTCACAGTTCTTAGCATTATTTATTTTCATTAAAAAGTACTTATCAACAGTACGAGTATAGATGTGAATGTATAGGTGTTGTTGTTGTTGATTTGGCATAGAGTGAGTATAGGTACGGATCTTATCGTCATTCATATCTCACCTGCTAAGAGCTGCGCCACATACAACAAGACAAAGAGAAGCAAAATGCTAGCTAAAGTAATAAAATAGACAGGGTGTTGTTATTACGCGGACAAACATTTCTTTTGTTTTTAATGAAGAAACTAGAAGACTACAATAAAAAAAGTGAACTTATCATGAAACATAGATTTACTAAAAGTAGATTAGAAGAGCATCATTTGGTAGTCCCGTTGAGATCTCGCCTTTCTGCTTTGACACTTATTGCATATGAGTACTAGCTATCTCAAAAGAGTACATCAATTCTAAGAAAATCAAAAGAGACTGCTCAGCAACATGCCGACCTGCTGGGCACTACGCCATTTTGCCTAGCAATATGAAGTGAACCAACTTTTTATAGAATTTCACATTTTTTAGGAAGTTAATGAGAGGAGTTTGAGCCGGGGCTGAAATTCATGTAACTCAGCTGACAAATGTGTCTTGAATGACATAAAATCGAATTTAGTTTTAATATGATTTGTTTGCAATTATATTGTTATATTTTATGTATAAAGCTAGAAATGCTTTAATTATCAATTATTTTTTTGGAAAGTTTCATTCAGAAGAAAAATCATAACAAAAACTTCAACTTTCTATATTTTATCGATAAGAAGGTATATAAAACTGCCGCAGAATGTTTTTTTTTGGCTAGCCATTAGTTTTGATAAAGTTTTTAAAATGAAGATCATGTTATTTTATGAGTTTATATTAAAAATAAAATAACTTTAGGCAAACTATTTCTCATATGATTTATTACGAATGAGACAAAAATGATGAAATTTGTTATGGAAAATGTTGCTTTCACATCTGTAAACAAGAAATTTAAACAAAAAAAACTACTCTATAAATAAAATATTTTAGCAGTAGTCTATAACAACCTGTCAAATATCAGAATAATCAATCTGCATAAGTAAATAAAATTAAGAAACAAAACAGATTTTTTTCACTTTTTTTTTGAAAGACATTTTTTTTTTCACTTATAAATCTTAGCTACGAAGTGATGAAAAGAATTTGAATTTTATATGAATTTGTAGTTTATTGCAGACTACACAATGTTTGAAAATCGTCTCGTTTTGATAATTTCTTATTCCAAATAGATTCATTCACACCCTTTTAGAGAATTTTCTACTATATCTGGATTATAAATTCTACTAGGTCAAAGATGTGCAAATGTTTCTGTGTTGAAATGCAGGTTTTCTTAAAAGCATACGATTTTTACAGAGCTTTTTATTCTTTCTTTGACGTAGAAATAGTTTGAGAGAAAAATAGAGACATATTTAGAATCAGCATAGAAAACCTGTACTGAGTAATGCATCCTTTATCAATTTTGGAACTAAAATTTTTTTTTCACAGGAGTTTAGGAGAAAGTTTTCCTCAAGGATTTTGCATCACAAATAGTCTTTTTTTGATCAATCTTATTTTTGAGTACAAGAACCTAATATTTCTATGAAAAAAATTCGGTTTTAATAGACAATAAATCCTGTCCATGTACTCAATAGAAATCGCTCACTCGGCAGTAATTGGATTTAATATTTTATCTAAACGTAAGTTTCTATTAGACTATCGAAAGTGTTCACCACAATTTTATATTTCATATGATAGAAATTTTCATATGAATTCTTGATATTGAAAATACATATTCAAAAAGATTCTAGAAAAAGTCTAATTATATTATTCGTCAGTTTTTAGTCAAGGAATATAAAACACTGTGATCTAATTTATTTTGTTATGTATAGATACACTTGGTTTTTATTTCTTACTACGCTTAGGCAAAAGAAATATATTTTATTTACTTTCATGTTGTTGGTTTCTATAGTAATGTCTGTGATAGGAGATTTATTTTTGCTCGCTTTAATATATCAGTCATGTTCCTGTTGTCTTTTATACAAAAAAAAAGAAATAATTCTATAGCAAATAATTTCACTAACGATAAATTATTTGTTTATTTAAAGCTTGTTTAAATATTTGTTCTAATTTAATCAAAGCCTTGTACCTTTATTAGGACTACAGTCAAATAACTTACTGTGAATTGTTCGTTGTCGAGCTTTAGACATTGCTTACATTTATAAGTGCAATCAAATGTGATTGTACAAAGTTACGTAGTAAATTGTAATTTTTTTTCTTTTTCAGTTTGTAAAGTTACGTCTATGCGTGCGTTTTTTTTCTTCAATCTATCAACTATTGACACATTTATGAAGAACGCTTCATTACAGAGAAAAGTAAAAGAAAAAGAAATAAGTATTCACAAGACTGAAAATTATAAAAGCAGCCAAAGATTATTTTTCAATAGAAATAGAAAAGATTTTTTTGGCATTAAAATAAACTCCTGCCCATATTAGAAGCATTCCGCGCCTTCTAATTGACCCTGCAGACTTTAGCTAAATTTTGCTAGAAAAAACTTGAAAATTGAGCTGGAAAGACCCTTAAAATGGGGGTGGGGGGTTTTAATATAGAAGGAGTTTGTATTACGAGAGAAGATTTAGGGAATGCATCTTTGCCTTATAACAGAGAATAGCTTACAGCGAAGGTTTTATTATTTATGTCCGATAAATAAGTGATTTTTATCAGACGGCGAGCATTGAAAAACATGACAATAATGAATAACTAGTGTATTAATTTATGTTCAATTTTAATTGACGTTTAGTTCAACCTGAGGAGCTGTTGAGTTCGCCAGTGTTCTCTATTGAAATTGAAATTAAGTTTATCTTAGCAAGACTTGACGAAAGAAACCAGAACAGATCTTTAATCTCGTGCTTTTTGAATAATATTTTTTATTGCCGTCGTTTATTCGTCTTAGAACCAAATAGGGTTCATATACAACATGTAAAATATAAATATGTGATGCTATTGTGTTTTTCTCAGTTATTGTTTAATCCAAAAAATGAAGGATACTTTAGCCTCTGTACTTTCTGTAGTTAAATAATAGTTACCTTCTCTTGGAATTTAATACTCCAATAATTTAAAAAGTTAAAATCATTTTCCAAGATCGATACATATGGAATCATTGGTGGATACATTACAGTATGAATAAGTGAAAATCACTATACTGAGTAGTAAAAAAGAAAAACAGTTGCGTTCTGTTTTCTAAATAAAAACGGAAAGGGTTTCGAAATTTTACGCCTAATTAAAAATGAATTCTACCTAAGTTTGGGTTAGCCTGTGACATATCCATTATATTAATATCGCTTCTAGAAAACGGTATACCACTACATGAACAAATATGTAGGATACAGACGATGAATGACGGTAAAGTATCTCCCTCAACGCTTTTAATCTATTTAAGTCTTCCTTCATATTGTATTGATAATATTGAATTTCCAATACAGGTGAAACGAAAGCTATAGTCATATTAACTGGTCACAGAGGATCTTTTATCATCATCATATCTCGACAGTAATTTAATCATTCAAGAGAACCAAATGTGCGCGTTTGATGTATAGCTCTTCAAGTAAGAGAGTAAAAACGCATAGCAGCTTCAAAAATCAAAAAAATTATCAACTATTTCTTCGATGATTTTCAAGTTTTATTTGAGTTTAGTACGAAAAATTAACCTATAAAATATGTTTCTGAACTCTTTCATTAAATATAAGTTTGCTGAGAAAAGCAAATTTTTTCTCTGACGATGATTTATTTAATTAATGAAAAAGATTAGTCTTTTGGGGTTATTCAATATGAGTTTAATCAATGAATCCAATGGTTATCGATATGCATTTAAGAAACTTCGAACAAGAAATACAACAATTGAAGAATTATTTAATAAGATACTTAATATGATATTTCAAATGTAATTCAGTTTAAATCATTACTATTCTCGTCAAAGTACAAATCAGGCATGCTATGTCAATTGAAAATGCAATCAGCGTTCAATTCTGTTGTGTCTTAATTGACAAGAGATATATGGCGAGAAAATAGATTACTCTGGTGAAGAGTATATCAGCTCAATTATTCGCTGATGATCGTTTCAATCCGGAAAGTTCGGATGATACTGACAAACAGTCGATTATCTCTCATCTATCAACACTTATTCTTAATTCCAATCTCCTGATAGATCTAAAGTTTTAGTGCGAAGAATATGCTTGTTGTTCATCACATTTTTCGTATGACAATGGTAAATGCTGCAGAAGTGATATACTGATTAGAATCGGACTGAATTGAGCCTAATCTACGACAGAACGAAAAATTCATTTTACCTAGAGCATCATAGCTTATTTGTCTGATTCGTATCATTAATCTTACAAAATCTATCAAAAAGAATTTAACGTAGTAAAACTCAATTGACAAACAGTCTATGCAAATGATTTGAGAGTAAAACGAAAGATTCTCTTGCTCAAATTCATTGGTTCTGTTGTATTCTGAGTACAACCAAAGACTTAAATGCATTGGCTTACGTTCCAGTACTAGATCGGTATTTGAGATATGAAGTTTGTAATTTCAAAATCACACCGAAAATTGTTCATCTACCGGAGTGTTCATCTCAGGTCATTAGAATATTGTACGGTCATATCAATGGAGTGAACGCAATGAACGAAAAGTAATATTTGAAAGAACAAAATAATAGTCTAGAGATAAATTGTTAAGAGCTCTCTCCTCCCTTTTACCGTCAAACCATATGGGTTATTACATTCTTCTCTAAAATAAAAACCACAAAACTTCAACATATTGAGGCATAGCGTCTAAAAGAAGTAGGTATTTCAAAGATGATCCGAGAAGATGCATACTGTGGCGACTAATCGAGTGGTATTACAATCTGTAAAACATAATTTATATAGAAAATTGCATTACTGGTCATAAGCGACATATTTATCCAATTCAATTGTTAAAGCTCTCTTGAGGTCTTACGATTACTGCATCACAGCTAAATGATCAGTCTTCACTTTCGTAAGTTTAGTTATTGAAAACATGAAAGAGAAAATTATAAATGTGTTTTCTTTCGAGTTAGGTTTCAATTGTAGTTGCTTTGAAACAATACCACGAAGTGAATCCAATATTCACAAGAAGCCGTCGAGTATAGAATGAAAACTGTGAATAAAGAAAAGCATGGCACAATAGAATTCGTGTGCTCTTATAGAAATTCAAGCATATGATACGTTCTACAGCACTCAAAAGTTCACTACGTCTTCGTATATTGCTAGATATAGCTGCAACAGACTCTTTATTTCAAATTAATGGACATTATTCATGAGAAGAGATGAAACCTTTTCTCCAATGATTGTAATGTTTTTGTCTCTGTAATGCTTTATCTCCTTTTTTTTCAAAGACTCCTTGGCTCGTTCCGCACTATTCTTACACCAACATAAATTACATATGTAAGAGTATACGAATAATGAAAAAAAAAACTTTGAGACATATTCGAGTTTCATTGAAATCTATAGATCACTGACTGTTCTCTTACTTGCTATCGGTGGACAGAGTTGTCGATTGAAACTGGGCACTGGATAACAAACAGGAAGATTATAACATCGAGGATGATGAACATATCTATGGTTAGATTCACGACAAACGTTGTTTGGGTGTTTGCAAGTAACTAACTCAGAGCAATCCACGAATTTATTGTTACAGATGCTGATGTTTATAGCACTCGCTATATAGAAATAGGCACACGCACTATTTAGCAAACATCGATCACATTGAGACATTCCACAACAGTATTGAGATTTCACTCGAACTATCAGCATACTAAATTAGTAGCAAGATTCGTAAAACGAAACAAGAACCAAACTTGTGAGACTGAAAAGAAAGATTATTCGACGTTAGATAAATAGAAAAATGATAGATTTTAAAATTACGTGAAAAGAACCAATACGAAACAATTATTTACTGCTGAGACCATTGCTTGTGCTGAAATGAGACAGAATAGTGGCGATACTCCATTTATATATGTCATGAATAAGTCATGTTTCTTGCATTCGCCAAAAGTTAAGAAGCGTATGTCATAATCCTTCGTTAAACAAGAATTCGATATTGTTCCAGCACTTTGTTAAGTACTTGATTTTTCTCGAAAAAAACTGTTCTTGATAGAAGACAGGCAGTGTCATTATTCGAAACATGAGCATTGTGTTATTGTCAATCATTGACTCAATATGTAACGACGACTTAAAACATTTTCAAGTACAAGTTCTGTTTTCAGCTTTTGCATTTTTATAATCAGCGACCTATAAAGGTTTGCATCTTCAATAAATTCAAGTTACAATCTGTAGTAAGCGAGATATATTTGTACTTTGGACTATATCTTCGGTGAACCTCAAGAATATTGGCATGACTACAAGCACAATAAACACTGAGATTGTTTGTGAATAAACAAAATATTCCAACAGTGAAATTGGTTTCTGCTCCATTTGCAGGAATTTTCTTATAGTCCTAGCTTTCCACTATTTTCAATAAAAAACAAACGTGCGCTCTTGCACTTTAGATTAGAATGATATATTGAATTCATACTTTTTAACTTTAGAAGGTAGACTATGTTTTCAAATGCAAAATCATTCTTGACACTCTAAAGGATATTCTACCTGACATATACGTTTGATGTATACTCAGCGTTTATTTAAGATGTATATCATTCAAGTTAGCTGACCCTATTTGTGAGTAAGTTTTTCTTCGACATTTTTACAAGAAAATATACGTTTTCACTTGTTAATTCCATCAGCACACTACGCATTTCCTTGCTTGTGACTTTTAGTGATGCTCTTGCGATAAAAAAGACTAACGATATTTAGAAAAAACTGGACGGCTCTATTTTACAACCTATTTTCATTGCATAAGAAAGCCAGTGTTTGACACAGCTCAATCTTTTCTTATCACGACAACCTCAATACACGCCATGAGAAAGAAGAGACCTTCTCACGACAACATCAACAAATAATTATAACTTATGTGAATCTTTCTTATTGGAAATTGGAAAAAATCGAGGGTATCAGATATAGATGTGAGAAAAAAAATACCAATACACACACCCACCAGACTGACATAATTGCAACCATCGACACACGTATCCACATCCTAGTTCGATGACCAGTTGTGTAATTTTTTTATATTCAGTCGTATTGTATTGAGCCAT